CTAGTATAATACTATTATATATGTATATATATATATATATATATATATAATTTATTTGATTAGACACCGCGTGTGGTGTACAAATGAAATCAACCGTCTGACGAGAGCGCACATTGGCGCTTAATTCTTATTTCATATTGTGAAGGTGCTACTACGGCGCCACCAGAGTATTGACGAGATAGCATCGGTAGCATCAATCCAGTATGGATCCTAGTGCGTCTACTCACCCCATTACCGGGACGGTCGAGAATTGACACATTGAACCTCGCTGCTTACAACCGTATACATCGGCTGGTGCTCACCTGTCTAGCCTGCCAGGGTTTGCCAAGAATGTCCGCACTTCTTAGGCTTTCATACCTTTTGTTCTCCTTTTAAATAGCTACTTGTGTTTTCATAGGTATGTCTATCTGTATTTGTGCTTATACAAGTGCACAAACACACCTACTACTACTATATAGATGACATACATTCACACATACATATATATATATATAATAAAATGAATATGTATGTATATATTGTTGAGTGGTAAATTCGAATCGTGCTCACTCCAATACTCTTACGATCCTCGGTAAACCAACAATCGCCCAGCATCAGCACCCGTGGGTTTGCCTTAGTCCTTTCTTCGCCAAATCGATCATAAAGTGGAAAGGATTAGATAATTTGGACATACCCTGACTATAGGGTGTATATGTGCCGATGACTCTGTCTTCCCTTGGAGATGTTTCGAATTCACAGACACTCACACGTGTAATGGATTGTATGTACATGTGCTGGGGTGTATGTGTACTAATACATACTTTCTATATGGTGTGTGTGATTGTCGGTTATTGATCATGTATGGATTGCGCCGCTCCGGTGCACGGTAGGCATAAAAATTAGTGCTATGCCAGCGGCCACAACCATTACTCCGCCAGATACCCACACACACATATATATATATATATATATATATATATAATATATATATATATATATATATATATATATATATATATATCTATATATATATCTGTATCTATACATACACACATACATACGTACATATATATATATATATATATATATATATATACATATATATATATATATAAATGTGCGTGTATGTGTGTGTAATTTATAAGAGTGTGTGTGTACCTACGATCATGTATAACTACATGCTCCTCTAGCCATTACCCGACGTTGTAAGCAGTCGGAAAGAAATGCAATAGTGGGGTTCCGCTTAGACTATGTATGTGATTGCAGATACGCTGACTGACGTGCTTGTCACATGTGTGCAATGTGACTGATGGACACATGTCTGTGTTAGCATTGGTTGTTATTAGTAACAACCGCATTCCGTAGTCTGACAAGCAACCACTAGTCTGTCGCCCTATTTCCTCACATGACCAAACAACTCCTTATTTCCTCACATGACCAAACAACTCCTTATTTCCTCACATGACCAAACAACTCCTCTAGACCATGTCTTCGTAGTCATCCATCATGCCCACACACTCCTGCCGCACATCCCACGTGACCCCGTCACCCTGGGGCGTTCGCACTTGAGGAATGAGTATGAGACACATTACATCCTGCCAGTTTCGACCGCCAAAGAAGTTCCTGATGTTTTGGGCCCTCCCAAAATCATAGGGATGTACTTTAATCTGTTTAGTGGGAGACGAAAGGTGCATGTGTTCAGATGACAATCGCTATAGACGGAAATCAATGCTCAAATAAACACAAGTACACATCCTAACGTTCATAAGATATTCATCTATGGATGATAATTTTCCATCAATAAATATATTCGTCACTATATATAGAACCTTTGTACACATGTAGCCTATGACGGTATGAAGTCGAGGAAGCACAACTTATTATTAGCCGCATATATATAACGAGGACACAAATTCGCTTCTTCTCTTCTTCAGTAGAGAAGTGATTAATTTGCGATGTAAGTATGCATACGAAGTACGTACGAATATCCCATAAAGAATAGCTCAGAATAGCTCAGTTAGAACACACAGTCAAACACACATGGTTGGGCTACTAAATGCGCACGTCGGATTGGTCAATCAGCATACAAATCCACACAATAATGTGCTGCATTTTTCCATGTGCTGAAATTTTTGTCAATGAAACTCCCAGACTTTCATCTAAATATGTGATATGATACGTACGGAGCTAATGATAAAAGCGTCTATATGCTACGATTTATAAAATGAGTGAAGGTCGAAATATTTGTTTAAATACAAACATACATACATACATACATACAAACATACATACATACATACATACATAAACATACGTACAAACATACATATATATATATATATAAAGTACATATATATATATATATATAGGATAACTAACCTCTTCCGCGCTGTTTATAGCCACTTCTATGGTGGTCTGTGCGGAGCTGACGAGATATAGATTCCACACAAAGAACGCAAGTAGTGCCACACCACATGTAAAACTGATAGACCCAACGGCAACTATCCATCCACGGTACTCTCTGGTGATCGCAGGCTGTCATGTAGGGAATAGGAGACAGGATAACTTAGCGCAATTTGAGTAAATTAGATTCCCTCCTGAAAAAAAATCGGCGGTGACCTTCGCATTTGGTAACAAGTGCGCAGCGTTGTATTCAATAATATATTGCAATACCAAATTATCAATCATTAGGTCGACATTCAAATGCCGGTGAGTAAGTATAAGGGTGAATATAAATAGATGCAAATTCAGTAGCTGCACAACATACGTCAGTATTGTAGATCGCAGCCAAGAACGGACAGTACATCAGTAAGTTGAAGTACGATACCCCCAGAAAGGTATACGAAACAAACAGCTCAAAATACTGGTGGTTGTAGTGGCCCACACAGTTATTTATCCACGGACAATGGTGATCCATTTTTAGTACACACACTCCACAGCTCCTGCAGTGATGAGTGCGCGGTGGCTTGATCTGAGAGCAGATTTTGCACCATTTCTTGGATTGTGTTTCTTTGTACCTGGGGTCGGCGAGCTGGAGATAGATGATTGATATTATATATAAACATATCAAAAAGCGATGCAAAGAAGTTAATAAGCTTGGATTCGGGTTAAGACTACTAAAAATATATTACATTAAGCAATCCTACACAAGACATCGAAAACAGATACACAGCCAAGAATTCGAACATACATTTTTGCACGAACATGACAAGTATCGAATATAATATATATATACATACAAACATATATACATATACGGGTTATATATACATAGGGCTATATATATATATATATAT